GGGCAAGGCCTGCGTGGTGCCCGCGGCTCTGTCCCAGCTGTGGCTGTTGTCCCCTGTCCGGCGCAGTCAGAAGCCTTCGGCCTCGGGGTGTTGGGTTACGGGACAGAAAAAGCCTCTCGAGGGCCCCTGGTTATTTTTACAGATTTCCTGCCACCCGCCCTCCGGTCGCAGCGGTCCCACGGGGGGTCCCTGTGCCCTGCAGGGGGCTGAAGGGTGCTGTGGTCCGGGCAGCGGGAAAATGATGCTTTTTGGTAACGCGCTGTGGTGCTGGTGCAGTGTGGGGGGAGCAGGTTCTTTGGGATGTCATCACTGGAAAGAGGAAATGGCCTCAAGCTGCCCCAGGGCAGGTTTAGATGGAGCTGAGGAACAATTCCTTGCCCAGAGGGTGCTCAGGCATTGGAACAGGCTGCCCAGGGCAGGGCTGGAGTCACCGTCCCTGCAAGTGTTCACAGCCCGTGTAGCCGAGGCCTCAGTGCCAGGGGTTGGTGGTGGCCTTGGCAGGGCTGGGGAAGGGTTGGACTTGATGAGCTTAAAGGTCTTTTCCAACCCTGCTGATTCTGTGGTTCTATGAAAGGGTGGGATGGGTGCCCAGCCTCTCGCCCTCTCTCCCACAGCCGACTACATCGTGATGCAGTTCGGGCGTGTGGCGGATGATGCTTTCACCATGGACTACAACTACCCGCTCTGTGCTGTGCAGGCCTTTGCCATCGCCCTCTCCAGCTTTGACGGGAAGCTGGCCTGCGAGTAGCGCCTGCACGGGGACCACGTGCTGGTGCCCAGTGGATGTTCCTGTGTCCTTGTCCTGCTCTGCTCCCTCCATTTCCACCTCCTGCCTGGTGAATGCTCGTGGTTCCAGCTGCTGCTGTGGTGGCTGGAGGTGCACGATGCCTGCAGAGCGCAGTGGGACTCTCATCCAGGCAAACTGGGGCCAGATCACTGGCCTGGGGCAGACGGCAGAGTCAAGCCCAGGGTATATTTAGCAGATGAGGCTGACTGTGATCCCAATCTCATCCCTTTGAGACGACGTTTCTTGGACTTGGATCCTGGAAACTCATCCCCCTTTTCTTATTTTCTATTTTTTTTAGATTCTGGTTTGTATTTTGTAGCTCGGTCTCTCAGGGAAGGGGAGTGTTGGTGGTCTCAGTTCCTCATCCCCGTACGAGTGTGCATAGAGCCCTCCTGCCCCTGAGCACCAAACCCCTTTATTCATAGAATCAATTAGGTTGGAAAAGACCTTTAAGATCTAGTCCAACCTTTTCTGCCCTATCTTTCGCTGATGCAAGCAGTCATGCAGTGCCCGTGATGTGTTTGCACACCCAGGGCTCTCCATGCACCAGGTCTAACCCCACTGCCTGGAAAGCTTTGAGAATCTGGGTCCCTAAGGATCCTCTTGGCACCCAGAGCACTGGCACCGCGTGGGCACGTGCCAAGGGGAGGCACCGGCAGCCACGTGAGGCAGAGCTGGCATCACCAGCACGGGGCTGGGCCAGGGTGATGCTGCCAGGAGGGACCTGGAAGGGAAAACTCTGGGTGCACCAGGAAGTGCCGGTGGGTGACTCACAAGGTGTGGTGTGGTGCTGAGTCACTCTCAGCACCCAGCTGGGCCCAGACGAGCCCCCTGTGTCCCTGCATCCCACCGGAACCCACCGGGCTGGGGGTGCCCTGGAGCTCTGCACACCCCATAGGTGCTCCCTGCTCATGGGGAGGTGACGGATGGGAGATGCCACCTTGGGACATAGACCCATGTATGTCACAGGGGACCGGGGGGAGTCATTGGGAAGGGGAGGTGATGGAGAGGGGCAGGTTGGGGGGAGCAAGGCAGCCCATGCCCCATTTCCAGCACTAATGTACCTTTGTGGGGTGAGGATTTGGCTGCATGGACAGCCCCAAATCTGATTAATTCAGTGGTGAGAAACACTGGGACATGCCAAGGTGCCCACACTGTCCTTGACCCCTCAATAGTGCTTCTCTCACCAGCTCAGCTCATGCACTGACCTCAGGGTGGGCTGATACAATTTGGGGTCCCCTTCCCAGGACACACACAGGCCTTTCCCCATTCTGGGGGTGATTTGAGTCCCCTAAGTTAACACTGCAAGAGGTAGCTGGGACAGAAAGGCTGAGGAGCAGGAGATGGATGAGGCAGATGTGATTGTGCAAGAGAGGTGCTCATCCTTGCTGGGCAGTGTCACAATGATGCTGTGGCCCAAAACTGTCCCTGACACTGATAGCGGGACCATGAGCTGCAGTGGGAGAACATCTGCCCCAGTGGCTTCACGGGTGGAGCAGAGGTTTTCCCACCAGCTGCACGAATCCAGGCTCCGTGATTCACCAGCAGATGCTTGTGGTGGGGCAGATGAAGGCAGACAGCTCGGGGACAGCAGGACTGCGTGGGACATCGTCCCTTACCCATATGGTGAGATCAGAGACCTTCTTGTAAAGGGAGAATCAGCGGTTTGGGACCAGCATCCCCTGGCTAGGTATGGGCAGCAAACATGGGGAAAGCAAGAGCTTTCTGCCCAAATCCAGCTGTGATCCCAACATCTGTTTGGAATCGGGAGCAGCTCGGCTAATGGTTTAGCTAACGTTTGTCCCTGTTCCCTCTGACGGAAGCAGAAAAGCCAAAGTGGGATGAGAAAAAGGGGTTAGGGCTCCCCAGGCTCTCGCTGGAGCATGAGCTGCCGATATCCCAGCTGCTCCCTGGGGAGTTTCTCCCTCTCCTCACCCAAAAAGCCTCCGTGTTGCCCATTGTTGCTTGCAAACCCCTTGGCATTCGCAGGCTGCAGCACAAGCGGAGTGAAACCCTCTGCCATGGGTGACCAAGGCCGTGCCACCCCATCCCTGAACCCCAAATCACTTACACAAACCCTCTAACCCAAACCAACTGCAGCACAAAAGAACAAATGCAAACAATTTAGTAGGGCGATGGATGCTCGGGCCCTTTGTTTGCGCTGGCTGTTAACACCAGAGGAGACAGGAATGGAAGCAGTTGAAATGTGTATCTACTTTGGCCGACGGAAAGTGTGACGGATGCGCCGGCAGACCAATGGTTGGGAATGCCGGGGGTGCGTGGGTGTGAAAGGAATGCTTGCCGCAAGAAAAGATCAGGAGAAAAAGGAAAAGAGAGAGAAGAAGGAGCTTTATCAATGGCATTTGAGCTCAAAGTGCACATCTTCCTTGGAGAAAGGGTTTTCTCTGGCCCCAGGGATGATGTTTTCCCTGCACCAGGAAGGCTTTGAGGTTTCTGAAGCTTCATTTCAGGGGGTTGGTGTTAGGCTGGTGGGGTAAGGATAGATTTAACCCCATGAAGTGCTTGTGGGCATGAGCATGGCCAGTGGCCAGCAGCAACTGTCAACAGCTCCTCAAGGGAACCTCCTGGGAAATGTGTTTAGTTTTTGCAAAGATGGTTATAAGGCAAAGGGGAGGAAAAAATAAAGGAGGTTCCAGCTTGATGCTGAGCCAGGACCAACGTCACTGTGGTGCTGGTGCCTCTTGCAGGCGCTGGGTGCTGCATCCCCATCCCGCTCCAAGGGGTGGAAGGATGCTGGTCCAGAGCTGAGCAGGAGGATGGAAGGGGGGGGCTCTTCTCTGTTTCTGCTCTGCCCCAAACCCAAAAGGCCGAATGCCCCATGGCTGGGCCACCTGTGGAGGGAAGGGGCTGGATCCAATCCCAGCAGGTCCAGGAGGGAAGGCCATGTGGGATAACTCCTCACCAAGCAATGGAAGGGCTGGAGCTGTTGGGTGGGTTCCCAGTGAGTGCAATGCCCAGCAGATAGCATTGCCTCAGCTGCAGGGGCTCTTGCTCTGTGCTTTGAAGTGGTGATACATTAATGAATTAAAGAAGTGAGGGGGATGAGGTGTTTTCCTTTCCCCTCCCCTCCCTGTGTATTTATTTTGGGGACATTTTTTGAGAGTGAAAGGCAGACTTTTGGGCTGGGGGTTTGCAGGATAGGGTCTTGCTTGCCACAGCAAGCGTCAGGCAGTAATGGGAAAGCCAATATTTCCCACGTGCTTTTAAAAGGAATCATTTTTTAATTAGTGAATCCATTCTGGAGAAGTGTTGGAGTTTTACAATGTTGTAGCTGTTCTTGGTGTCTTGCCTAGACTTGGATGTTCTGGCCGTAAGAAAATATTATTTATGGCGTTGCTGCTTGCAGCTCTTTTATATTATAATTTGGGAAAGGAAGTTGCTGTTCCCACCAGTGGACGAAGAAAAGCAGAAACAGGGATTATGGACTTCTGAAGGAGGCAAAGAAATACAAATAAAGAGACAGGACTGAAACAAACCACCAACCTGGGCTTGGATCACCACAATCCGGAACCAGTGCATCCCAGTGGTGCCAGCGGTTGGGTTGGATGCTGTAGCCAAGCTGAAGCCGGAGCTGAACCAGGCCTGGCACAGCGGTGAACCCCTTGGTACTCCCCTGCATGGCGTTCCATGTGTTCCTAAACGTTTGCAGATCAGGCTTTTATTCATGGGCTAACGCATGCTTGTTTGCTCATGCCTTACTCAGCCTAAACTCTTATTGAACTCAATTAAGGCTGTCATCTCCAGGAGCAGTCAATGTCATTTTTGCCCAAGTAAGGGATGAGTAACGAGGGCTCTGAGCAGCCCTTGGAGAATAGCAACCATTTTGTTGCAGTTTTGAGGCCAGATTTCTTACAACTTAGCACCAGGCCAAGGGTGGAAGAATGTGATATGGCTTTATTAATCACACACGATTGCTGAATGCGCTGGATGCTTTGGAGACCGCCGCTTTACGGGCTGAAGCGTTGGCTTGTCTTGTCCCAAAATGCTTCAATACAACCAAGCTCGGCACGAAGATTAGAAAAACATGTTTCTAGAAGGGGTGGGATGCAAAGAGCATCCCCTCTCCAAGCAGGGCGCAGGGAGGATCCCTCTCCCTGATTGATCTTGGGGGGCTTTGGGTACCATGTGCTGGACCCCATGGCCAGTGGGGCTGGGGTTTTGCCATGTGTTGCCCATACCCAGGGCCACAATTCCCGACAGTCGGGCTGGGTCATGGCCAGGGATTTGCATGCGATCAGCGGCTGTGGCTTAGCACGTTACCACCCATCGGCCGGCTCCTGGCTGGGTTCCCTTGGGAAATCGCAGTGGCATGGGCTGAGATCCCCATCCTGGGTACCACAGGGTGGGGTGGGTGTCTGGGAAAGACGGGTATGGGGGGCTGAGGGTGTATATGGGGCGGTAAGAGGGGGATGAAGGTGTTCAGTGTGGGGTGACAGTGCGAGGATGGGGATGAGGAGAGGTCACGCAGAGAACAATGAAGGTGTGTGGAAGGGGATGAAGGTGAGCACAGGGAGGAAGATGAGCGTAGGTAGGTGAGGATGAGCAGAGCGGGATGAAGATGTAAACGGGAGACCCTGGCAGGCTGGTGACGGGGCGGGG